ATACTTGTTCTGAAACTCCTCTATAGCTTTACCAATGACATCTTTATCCTCAGCAGACAAGTCTTCATAAGGTACCATAAGAATGTCCTTGTTGTTGTGAACTGTCATGACGATTGTGGTCCCACCGAGCGTGCCAAAAAGTGTGTTGACATAAAATTATGGCGATATGATCAACACACAGCAAGCCGAAAGATCTTAATGGAACAAGACCAAAAATCTGCTTGGCTTCAACACAGAACCAGCCGATTCTGAAAACCCAACGACGTGCCAGTTAATTTGACCTGCAATTGACAAAGAGAGAAAATCTTATCAGTAATTTAAGGTGGAACACGTCAGTGTTGCACCAAACAGTTCCAAATGTACGCTAGATAGCTGATTTTATAAGGCTATTGACTAAATAATCGATATCCGACGTATCCATAAGAAGTGATACAAGAAAGCATCATCGGCTAAATGGAACATGATCGATATAAAGTGTTGAGCCGATAAGTTTGATGAAAAGAGTATAACATACGAACAAATCGACTGTTTAATATAAATGAATCTACAAATGCGATGGCGAAAGTCGAAAAGATTGTATTGAATGAATGTTCGTGTCCTTTTAAAATAACCAGGGTCTAATATTAATATCCAAAACCTAAACATCAATCCTACTCAAATACGACTCATTACAATTCTTGCAATAAAAGAAAACTTCCTAAGTTAATAATAACTTGGACCCCAATTTTTCTTTATTCGTAGAGTCCGACACATCTCCCTGGCGCCACTCAAGTATAGCACATTGACGCTGTCTACTGACGTCATCCATAAAATAGTCGATTCTGACATTACATCTAAATCAGCTGATACTGATTCTCATCCAATCGATTCCTTGATGACACAATCATAGATGCTTCGAGTTCTTGCGTTCTTCTTCCTAAATTTTGGTGTAAACAAAGCTCACGCTAATTTTTAGATACTAGAGATTTTGAACTCTTTGTTTCTCCTACAAATGAGTTCAACTAGATAGTGCCTTTGAAACATCACACCTATGGTATTTCAGTCTCTTTTTTTTTTACAAAGGGAAGCGGGAATTATACTAAAACTTAGCACAGTACATCCCCATATTACACATGAAAAAACTGAAATAAAGAACATAGAATATTTTTTTCTATATCCTTCTACCATTTTCTTTCCTGATGGCTTTCTTCAATGCACCCAATGCTCTAGATGAACATAGCCTTGATGAATACAAGAGTCAGAGTGCAGTCCTTATTCAAAATCCAACTATCAACCCAAAAACATTAGTAATTGTACCATTGGATACCGCATAGGCTGCAGATTCATCACCTTTAATTCTTGATTTTCTCTCTGCGACCATCGTCAATGAGATCGATGACCTGGAGTAACTGCCCTCTTTAGGTATGCCCAGGAACACCCCTCCTTGTAGATAATGGTTGCATGTCAATGAAATTGATGTATGCAATGGTGACCTCATTGTGGTAATCACCGAAATCATCATGTGTAACAAGATCCTGGCCGAAAATCATTTGATTTCATCGGTAGATTTATTTGAACAAAACCTAAACGAACTAGATCTAATGAATTATTGTAGACAAGAGATGGATCCCTTCTTCACCGGAAGACTCGTCGGAGTGGAAGGAGAGAGACCCTAGACTATGACGGCGGTGCAGCGAGAGAGAAAAGGACATGACTTTTTTTTTCTCCCGGTGGATTCAAGCTTCCTATTGTGCACATTATGGTATTTTGACTTGAATTATTTGTTTTCAAAAAAATAGAACTAGATAGTGTTTAAGATAATGAGTTCAACTCATGAGTAATCTAAAAACATTTAAAATATATATTCCGGTCTCTACGGAAAAAGAACAGCGAGCTGAACAGTTCCGCTTTTCCCTCACTCAACCTGTTCGCTTGCTCGTATCGATCGTGGATTATAAGTTGAACAGTATTTTTCTCTTACACCAAACCAATGGCCGAATAAATAATCCACGATCATTTACTGACTGCTTGAACAACAAGTTGCTTTAGGCCATACAACAAAAATGTTAAATTTCCTTGTTAACCCACCATGCATTGTTTTATTTCAAGTCCATGTTGGCATGGACGCATACATTTTTTTTTTTGAAAAACGGCAAGAAAGTTGCCAAATTATATTTATTATTAGAAGGGAAAAAACTAACATTGGCACCAATAGAAAGAAAAAACACAAAGGGCCAAAGAAAATACAAACAGCTACACATCTCTGCTCTGGGGTCACATGCACTTCCTCTGCAGCGACCACTAGAAGAGCAGCCAAATGTACTCTGGCCGAAAAGCTCAAAACCGTAGAAGCCAACGTCTACGCTGGTAGCGAAGGTCCGACGGAAAGGACAACGCTTGGAGGGCACTGCTTGGAACACGCATACAAACAAAGATTCCCTAACAAATTCTCCAGTGACCGGGACGGGAGGCCGGGACCTAAAACAGCCTTATCGCTAGGCTGATTCGTATCGTTGCTGGTTTGTTTATGTGAGAGAGAAGTACTGATAGCTGGTTCGCGTGAATAGTAGTCATATGAGGGGGGTTAGCCAGCCAGCCCAGCCCAGCGATCAGGCTGAAAATCAGCAGGATTCCGTGTTGGAATCGGAACCAATTCCCTGCTTGGCTTGGCTGGAGTAACTGGATAGAATCTTACCGGCAGTAGTGCTAGCGTTGTACACAGGCGTTCGGACGCCCGTGTCTGCACTCCGTTTCACGCGCCTCACATCGTTCTGAACGTCACCAATATCGAGAAGAGGGGAAGGGGCCAGCGCCCACCTGCGTCTCTGGTTCGGATGCCTAACCGGTGTCGAGAGAAGGAGAAGACACTGAGGCGAAGCAGCAGAACGCAAGGAGAGATGCAACACCCGATTTACTTTTGAAACATCCAAATGCAACACTTGCAACATACGTCTTAAGACAGATGAAACACTTAAAACATGCATCTGAAGCACTTACAAAAACACCTAAAAACACTTAAACCATTGTGAAAATGACGCAACATTCATATAAATACACTTGCAACATATGTGTGAAACATTTGCAACATCCAAATAAACACACTTGCAACTTACGTCTAAAAAACAGGTGAAACATTGGGAACATAATCTTACAACATAGGTGTACAACTATTATAACATATGCAACATCCCGATCTACTTTTGCAACATACATCTGAAACACTTACAACATACATATGAAACACTTGCAACATATCTATGAAACATCTGAAATACTTGAAACATAGGCTTGCAACATGCTCTTTCAGTGCAACATATCCTTGTTGCTTGCGAATGGAGGCTCGTTGGCACGTGGAGTTCATCAGTGTAGAGCTCGCCGGTGGCGCGGAGCTCGCTGCTCCGGTGGAGAAGGCCGCGACAGGTCTGGTGGAGAAGGTCACGGCGGGTGGGAGGCGCAGTGTAGAGGGAGGAAGACCGGCTGCCGCGCTTGGGCGCGGTGGAGATGCCGGCGGCCGGCCGGCGGAGTGGAAGCACAATGGAGAGGGAGGGGCGGTGGAGAATGCGGCGGAACGCAGTTGCGGAGTGCTTTTGCGGCACAGCGGTGATGTGAGTTTTTTTAGAACAGCTGCGGGCTAGTGGACAAACAAATTAGAGGCGGTCATTGGGCTGACGTCAGCACGTCTAGGTCTAGCAACGGAGCGTCCGGGCGGTTGGACGCCCGCTTTCAAAATTATAGCAGCGGCGCGGGAGAATTGCACACAAATAGTAAAACTTCATATCCTCTGTTTGGTAAAATTTCATATCCACGGTTGCTGCAAGAAAAGCTAGTCCATTTTGCCTCTTGCACTTTTTTTTTCTCTAATAAGCCGGAGCTCTACATATCATTTCATATTAAGGAGAAGAGAGTTTACGATACAACGGCCGCCGGCCGCAAAAGGAGCGTTTGTGATCAGCCTCTTGCACTGACCACTGATGTAGTTGCAGACCCAAAGCAACCGTTTAAAAAAAGAAATAAATGGCTGATCACAGCCTCTTCCTTGCTCAACTGACGAGCAGAGTTCTGATGTTTTCTTCTTTTTTCTTTTCTCAATCAAATACCCAAAAGACTTAGTTTTTTTTTTTTTGAAACGAAATACGCAAGTCACCAATGTATGTACTCCTACATTGTACTATTTCCCTAAATATCGGGGGGAATTGATCGCCATCGTCAAGACGCATGCTTCAATTTGTATATGAATCTTGCAGCTATGGTACTCTATGAATCTTGCAAGTGTTTGTTTGGAACCCGTTTCAAACGAGGTCTTCACATGATCATATCCTCTGTTGCTACACAGAAAAGCTAGTCCATTTTTGCCTCTTCGACTGAAGCTGAAAGTAACAATTTTTTTAAAAAAAGAAAGAAACACAGCCTCGTCCTTGCTCCGACTGAAAGCAACTGACAAGCAGAGTTCTGATGTTTTCCATGAATGGTTTAGGGCGCGTTTAGTTGGCGATTTTTTTTTGTTTTGGCTACTGTAGCACTTTCGTTTGTATTTAACAATTAGTGTCTAATTATGGACTAATTAGGTTTGAAAGTTTCGTCTCGCGATTTCTCACCCAACTGTGCAATTAGTTTTTTCGTCTACATTTAGTACTCCATGCATGTGCCGCAAGATTCGATGTGACACTTTGGGGTGAAAATTTTTAGGAAGTAAACAGGGCCTTATCAATACATACTGTAATGTCAATTGGTCATTCTCTCACTGATGTTCATGCAGAGTATCTGAAATAGCAGCACACCAATGTATGTACTGCACATTGTATTTCCCCAAATATCGGGGGAATTGATCGCCATCATCATCAAGACGCATGCTTCAATCTGTATGAAGCTTGCAGCTAAGGTACTCTACGAATTTCATCTCATTGCCATGGCATGAGACTCCACCCCAACCACTCCAAAATCCCAATGAATACTTAGCCTATGTACAACACGGTCCAATCTCGTCTCACAAATGGGAGCATTGTTGCATCAATGAACTGAGCTCAGTTCTCTTCCATGACCAGCCTGGGGCCACTGCCGCTGGCCAAAAACCGCAGAGCCAGCTCGTAGGCGGAGAAGATAGCGCCGTTGACGACGAACGCGCGGGCGACGGCGGTGCCGAGGCCGCGCCACAGCACGGGTAGGCCCTCCTCCCGGACGCTCCTCCGGAAGCAGTCGACGACGCCGCGGTACCTGGGCGCCGACCCCGCGCCCTGCGCCTGCAGCCGGGACTTGACCACGTCCAGCGGGTAGCAGCAGACCCAGCTAGCGACGCCCGCCAGGCCGCCGGACACGAGCATGGTGCCCAGGCCCTCGTCCTCGTCCCCGTCCTGCCGGCGGCACCCCGGGTGCAGCCGCTCCCGGGCGCGCTCGTACGTCCAGAAGTAGACGCCGTGCGCCGGCGCGTCGCGGAGCGCGGTCACCGTGAGCCCGCGGTACACGCCACGGAGACCCTCCCGCCGGAGGATGTCCCGTGCTATCTCCACGGGGCCGCGGCGGTGGCGGCCGTGCTTGTGCCCCGCCGCCTCCAGCTGCAGCCGGATCTTGACGAGCTCGACCGGGGACAGGATCAGCGTCTGCAGCGCCCCGTGCCGACGCCGGCCAGCGCCACGCTCGCGTAGGAGGGCGGCTCCGAGGTGGCCGACCTCTCCGGGTCCAGCGACCGCGACAGGATCGCGTACACCTGGAACACCATCGCGTTCTGCAGACAGGCAGCAGCGAGCATTCTCGTCAGTTGTCATGACACGACACAGAGCATGCATGGTGTTGCAGCTCGTAACACCACGTCGGTGACTTGTGCGAACGCGGCAAGGCCATGGCCATGGTCATGTGCAGTGAAGGTTGATGGGTACAAATCTGTTGCTAACTGTACCAAACTTTGGATGGCTGACTATTCATTCATATGATGTTGTGTGGCTAGGAATGGTGCCATTTGGATTCAGGTTAGATCCTTTTCTTCTACCTAGCTTTGCGTTTTTTACGGAGGAAAAGAGGTGCCTTTGCTGAAAATCTTAATGTGACGTGGCCAGAAGCGAAATGCATTTCTAAGAAAACACCGACAATGTACCAAATCTACAACTTAAATTTTATCTATTTTTCAATCAAATTCAGTGTCCCTTGTCTAATCCAGCACCCCTTGAGGGCAGAATTGTGAGTTTGCCAACGCTAGGCGTCAGGCGTCAGGCGTCAGGCGTCAGGCGTCAGGCGTTAGGCGTTAGGCGTTTGTAAGATATATGAAGACTTGGCCGACGTTAGGCGTTAGGAGGCAGTACGCAAAGGTCGGCAGGAACACGAGCGCATGGGCATGTGCATCAGCGTACGTTAGTACGTTACTGGCTTTGTTGGTGACTGGTGAGAGCACAAGGAAGCAGAGGCACACCATGTGAAGCTCCAGAAGCAGCAGGCGGGCACAGAGCAACAGTTCATTTAAGCTGAAGCATACCATGTGAGTGAGAGGACCATTGCGTGCAGCATTCCGTCCAAAGATGTTGTGCCCAGATCGCCAACTGCCCAAACAACCCCCAATGCAGAAATGCAGCTATTTCCATTCATCATGTTTTGGTGAATGGTGATGGGTAATCAAGATGGGCATTTCGTCACGTCTACTTCTGAAACTGATGGCCACAAGCTGGCTGGCTGTGTTTCCTAGTGCGATCCTACGGGAAACATGGTAAGGCAACGCAAAGGCAGACAAAGGCAAGAAAAGGTAGCGCTGCAACAAGAGTTCAAACGCGACAAGCAAGGTGAAATTTTGCGCATGATCTTTCTGAGTGAGTGAGACGGTAACTAGTGCCGTCCCCCGACGGCTAAACTCGATTGCGTGCTTGTTTCTGAGCAAATAAAAATGTTATCTTTGAAAGCGATCGACTTTTACTAAAAAAATAAAAGTAGGTAATCAGCGGAGACAAACAAAAAGAACAAAAAAGGAAGACGTATCTTAATAATCCACGGCGTCCGAGGTCCTGGAATCCGTGATCCGGCCGTCCGGATAGCCGCGGCATGAGTCGGAGTGAGAAGGGAGGGGAGCGCGGTGGTGCAGAGCAGAGCTGACGGACCTGGAAGGCGACGGAAGCGAGGGGCGCGGCCATGCCGCGGTAGAGCGCGGAGGGGCCCTCGGCGCGGAGGATGCCGCGGAGGAGGCGCGCGGCGGAGGGCTGCGGCGTGTGGGCGAGGCCCGCGGCGGGCGGAGGCGGCGGCTGCTGCAGGCGGATGCGGAGCGTGTCTAGCGGGTGGCCCGCCAGCACGCCCGCCATGCCGCCCACACCGCCGGCCACGAACTCGCTCCCGCCGCTGGTCGCCAGGAACTCCGGCCAGAACTCCATGGACCCGCCGCAGTTGCTGTCGTCGCTGTACGTGCCTGCTGGCGCGGCGGCGACCATCCGAGGACCGGACGAGCGACGACGGGCCGGGCTGGATCGACTCGTCCTCCGCCTGCTAGGTGCCCGTGCACGGCAGATTGCGCGCCCACCCGTGAACGTGATGGACGGACGGATGGGTCCAAAATTAAAGGCAGCGCTGGCTGGCGGGCGGCCTCCGTTGGGAAAAAAAAAAAGAAAGGGACGCCACGCCCCGCCGTGCCCGGGCTCGTGCGAGACGGCGCGCGCGGACAGGCCGGTGGAGGAAAAAGAGGAGGCGGTGGCGGGATAATGGTGGCGCGCGGCGCCTGAAGCGGAGAGAAGAAGACTGGATGGAGAGGAGAGGAGAGGAGAGGGCGCCGTGGATGCTATGTGCGTGTGGCTGGCTGCCTTGGTTTGGCCGTTGGCGGGCGCCGAGGAAACCGACTAGGCTAGCGCAGCGCCGCGGGCCAAGGATTTGCGCACTGCAGCGTGAGCCAAAGTCGTGACTGCACATGGTGTCATGTCCGCCATCTCTGTCAAACAAAAAGTTACCCTACCCGTACTCCAGATGGTGTTGCAACAATGCGACTGAACCAAATCGCGTATCCTCTGCGTGCGCGTCCTAGGCTCCGTGACCAACTTGGGCATCGGCGCCATGACGGCGACCCTCGCTCCTGCGGTCCCATGAACTGGCTATTTTTGTTTTAACTTTTCAGTAGGGAAAGTGGAGCGCCTTACTATAAAAATTAGGCCCTTTCATTGCTCAACAAATGATTATTTTTCCTGCACTAATATACAAAACTGCTGGTCCATCACAAGTCAATAAGCATAGTCATCAACTGCAGACGCCGTGTTAGACCCGTTGGCACTGATTTCCGTCGGTTTGCTGACCAAAAGAGTCGTCATGTGAGGTGTTGTAATTGCGACCTGCCGAAGCTTTTTCGGCGTCTCTTTCCCTTTCTTTCGGCTGTGAAAGTGACTCCTTGCGGTCGATGAAAATGAGAGATACACCTGAATATGGCATGTTCGGTTTACCCCATATTGAACTTGTTCGTCTTCTTTTTTTTTCAGTCGGAACAGTGTTTTTTTCTCACAACAATTCAGGCGGAACAGTAATTTTCAGTCAGTTTTAACCAAGTTTCAGACCAGCGAACGGGGCCATATATATCTCCTATCTCCTGAGGATTTTCCTGGTTTCTCAGTGAGCCACGTCACCCAATCTCACCTTCATGCTGTCCTTCCCACGAGCACTCTGCATGTCCTTCACGTAAGGCTGGATAAAAAATCAAAGCTCGTCAGCTCGCTCGGCTCGTAGCTAGCTCGACTCGACTCGGCTCGACTCGTTACAATAACGAGCCGAGCCGAACCAAGATTTTAGCTCGTTAGCTATAACGAGCCAGCTCGCGAGCCAAACGAGCCACGCTTCCAGGGAAAAATCATCACAACTTACATTAGTTTTGAATTAATTCATGTCTTGCACTTTATAATTGGTTGATGACTGGTGTGGACTCTATAAACTTAGAATTATTATGACTTTATCATTTTATCTTTAATGATGTATGGATAATCATGCACGCATTACATATGGTATGAAGTATGTACCATAGATGTATGATGTAATACTATAGTATATATATATTATTATACTTGTATATATGTTAGTCTATATGAATATTTTGTTTGATTTAAGGCCGTTGGTTGTCTTACTTTTGGATTATTGGTATTCTAAAGTTTTAGATAAATACAAATATTATATTTTGTGTACTTTTTTATTACTGGCTCACGAGCTTAATGAGCCAGCTCAAGCTCTTAAACGAGCCGAGCTGAGCTGACTTAGCTCGTTATCTTAATGAGCCAGAATGAGCCGAGCCGAGCCGGCTCCTTATCCAAGCCCTACCTTCACGCCACAACCAATAGTGGAGATAAATGCGCACTGAGGAAAAATCCTATTGCCCCGCTGGAAGCCTGGAACAGGAAGGGATGAGTGCCGATGTGGAGGGCCGGTGGCAGACTTCTCCAGACTCCACGGCGTCTGCCGTCTGTGCTCTGCCTCTGAGCGACGCTCGCCGGGAAGCTACTGTAACCCACTTTCGGCAAGCGTCTCTATCGCAAAACTCTCCCGGAGTACCTCTCACAAACAGTTTTTTTCTTAAAAAAATCTGTAAACTGTTCAAACGAATTAAAAGATTAGTGCTGAAAAAACTAGCCTTTCTCTAACCCACTTCTCCCTATAATCGCTTCCTACTCAATTTATCCTGGAAAAATCATTTTAACCATAATGGTAAATAAAAGGACCTCTACCAAACTAACTCTTACACTATAGCCCTATAGGTAGTCCTCCACTCTCTCTGTGCCCACATGAGTTAAGAGTACCATGTCTAGATCGCTACGGACTATGGAGTCCGATCCCAAGATGAATTAAAATATGGTGGTTATTTCAAAAAAAAAAATTTGGTGTGGTTCTTTAGCCCTTCACTCTCTTCCGTTCCCATACGCGAGTCAGAGCCACCTGTGAAGGCACAGTGCGGGATCCCAAGTCTAATTGAAACGCTCGACATGGTCATTCGAAAATCTTCAAGCCTTATATGTACTAGTTAAAAGCATCGTCGATTCCAACATGATTTGTGACTCACGACATATTTATCGAAAAATTTACCGAACCACAACGCGCATCCCGTTACCATACAATAAGCTATTATAATGCATTATAACATGCTTACTGATAAATACTCTCTTCGATCTAAATTATAAGTCGTTTTGGTTTTCTATATATATTTATTATATACCTATAAGCATAATATGAGAAATTTTATAATGGTTGAAAAAAACATGGACCATCCATAGAGTAAGATCGGACGGTGCAAAAATATGAGGTACTCATCTGAAATTACTTAGAAGTACCAAATAGATGAAGATAATACCAAAATTAGGTGGGGCTAGTACTAAAATGGGTGGACCGGTTTTTAATTAATTATTCGATACTTGTATTTTTTTGATATCAAGGACAAATCAGTAATTTCAGCATCTTCGTCACGCGCCTCAAGGCATCTGCGACATCGTCCGTGCCGAACGACCCGTCGTCATGCCATGCCACGAACGCCCCGCGACGTGGCCCTGGTTGACTGTGAACGGGAGCATGACCAGCAGGTACGGTGGCTGAACCGGAGGCGCTCTTGAGTTTGCCGCTTCGGCGGTACCATTGTCATGGTCACCGTCGTCGTCCCGGCGATCTATTGTTCGGCTCCGGCAACAGGAGGCCAGTGGGCAGGACAGGCTTGCGGTAGAGCTCTGCGAGCAGCGGAAAACACCCGGCCAGGCTCCACCTCCGAGCAGCCGCGTACCAAGAGGAAGAGGAGGCGGCAGTGCTGCTCGGTCCGCCAGAAGCGCTCGGAGTCAACGAAGCCGGACGGACGCATCGAACTGGGAGGCAGCACGGCAGCGGCGATCCAGGCGGCCTCGTGTCAGCGGAAGGCGAGGGTAGCTGGGGAGGGGAACCCGGACCACCTGTCCACCTCGGCATCGGCATGAAGTCCTCGACGGTAACACGGGGGGAACATACGGGTGGTTGACGTTCCTGACGTGATCCCAAGTACGCGAGCAGGCATGGTGGCCGTGATGATTTGGAACGTCGCACAGGCAACCAGAAATTTATTGACGGTGTAGTATTTGAAACACTTAAGCGGCGAGCAGTAGGGAGAGTTCATGGCGGCTGCCTGCTATCGGCAGTTTGGGGCGGCAGCGTTTGATAGCCCGAGCACAGGCGTCCGGCTTAGGCCAATGCCAATCCATATCTAATATAAAAAGGCAAAATTTCTTGCCACCCTAAATTTTTGTTCAATCTAATAATCCTAAAATGGCTCGGCTTCGGCGATCATGCAACCATCGTGTTTTTCCTTTTTTTGGCGTCGAAGATGTTTCCGTCCACGTTTCCTTTTCGGTCCATTTTCCGTTTACTATCCTTGTGTCCAATATCTATCTCTATAACTAAAACATTCATAACTATTCTGTCCACAGGTGCGACACCAAAGCCGCTCCCTGCGATCAAATCAGGAAGGCAACGCGCACTCGCTCCATGCGATCAAATCAGGAAGGTAACGCGCACTCGCTCTATGCGATCAGCTCAATCCCCCATAACAGCCGCAGTAAATCAGGAAAGCAAAAATCAACTCCCCTCGATAGACATTTTTTGGTGCCACAATCACCGCTTCGGGTCGTCGGTCTGCCCCTGCAATCCCCGCCTGCTTTCACCGTGCTTCCCCCGCGCGATATAAAAGGAAACCGCCATCCGCGTCGCTCCCCCGCGATTCGTCCGCCACCATCCACGTCGCTCCCCGTGATTCATCCGTGAGAAAAGGAATCGCCATCCAGCTCGCGCCCCGAGATTCGACCGCAGACAGACAATTGCTCTCCACGCGCGGCTGCCGTCATCCTCATCCGCCGCCCCGTCGTCGCCGTCACCCGCCAAGATCTTGCGCTGTCATCACCGTCGCGGGCAGTCCTCGCCATCATCGCCCTCGCCTTTGACGTCCTCCATCTTCCTCACCAGCCGATCCATCCAATGCCGGCTGTCGCGGGAGGGACTAGAGGACCTCGTGGTACGGCTCCTGCCCGTGCTACTTCGTGCCGCCTGGAGGACGTGCGGTTCCGATCCTGCCGGCTGCCGCTACCGCGTGCACGCCGCCTGCACGTGCTGCTTCGGCCCCAAGACGGCGGGGCCGGCCGCCGAAGAACCCTGCCCCCGACCAACCGTCGGGCAGCCCGGGGTCCCCGCTGGCGGCGGCTGAGGCAGAGGTGATTGGGGACTACGAGAGCGAGTGGGCCGCGAGGATCCAGGAGAACATGGAGTGGATGTAGGAACTCGGCATCCTTGACCTCGCGCAGACCCTAAGCTACTCTGTCGCCGCCTCGGGTCACGGTACTGGCAGCGTGCGGTGGCGTCAGAAGCCCGTGGAGCTGGGGTCCGCTGGCAGGGCCAAGGTGAGGTC